GGTTTTTCGATTTAGAGTACTATATATAATGAACAGTGGAAAAACACTTGATATTTAAATTAGTATCGACAAAACATTAAACAGTGTTGATACATATAATATACCAATTCTCCCATAAAACCGGTATACTTATACTGGTTAGATTGAAAAATTACCTAATACATTATACTTTTGGGTTTCGATGTTTATGAGATCGACACTTTTTATATATGGATCGACACTTTATGGTTGCACCTTGTTTGCCATTTATTCTGGACCAAAAATATCGACACAAACTACAAAAGTGTCGACACATTATTTAGACCTATTCTCTCATAAAACCGGTATACTTGTACTGGTTAGATTGAAAAATTACCTATTACATTATACTTATGGGTTTCGATGTTTATGGGATCGACACTTTTTATATGGATCGACACTTTATTGTTGCACCCTGTTTGCCATTCATTCTGGACCAAAAATATCGACACAAACTACAAAAGTGTCGATACATTATTTAGACATATTCTCTCATAAAACCTGTATACTTGTACCTGTTAGATTGAAAAATTACCTATTACATTATACTTATGGGTTTCGATGTTTATCGGATCGACACTTTTTATATGGATCGACACTTATTGTTGCACCATGTTTGCCATTCATTCTGGACCAAAAATTCGACACAAAACTACAAAAGTGTCGATACATTATTTAGACATATTCTCTCATAAAACCTGTATACTTGTACCGGTTAGATTGAAAAATTACCTATTACATTATACTTATGGGTTTCGATGTTTATCGGATCGACACTTTTTATATATGGATCGACACTTTATTGTTGCACCCTGTTTGCCATTCATTCTGGACCAAAAATATCGACACAAACTACAAAAGTGTCGATACATTATTTAGACCTATTCTCATAAAACCGGTATACTTGTACCGGTTAGATTAAAAAATTACCTATACATTATACTTATGGGTTCGATGTTTATGGGATCGACACTTTTATATATGGATCGACACTTTATGTTGCACCCTGTTTGCCATTCATTCTGGACCAAAAATATCGACACAAACTACAAAAGTGTCGATACATTATTTAGACCTATTCTCTCATAAAACCGGTATACTGTACCGATTAGATTGAAAAATTACCTATTACATTATACTTTTGGGTTTCGATGTTTATGGGATCGACACTTTTTATATATGGATCGACACTTTATGGTTGCACCCTGTTTGCCATATTGTAAATTTGCCTTTTACTTTAAAGTGAATTTTATAGTTATTGTACATACCCTCAATATATATGGAATGGCCATTCATTCTCGCACATGATGACAATTATGATGACATTTGGTATAATACAGACAACAATCTCCATATATCGTAAGTATCAACTAAATCTTATACAAATTAACCCTACATTTACATCATTGCATCCTTTTGTTATTCTTATGTATCATGACAGCTTTTGTTATCTCATGTCTTCGTTGATTTTGATTGTGGCTTACGAGATCGTTTAATATTCACGATCGATCCCACTCTCCAACAACCTATATTCAAATTGTCAGAACGTTAAGTATTGTAAACTACAGCATTCAATCTACGACTTTTAACAATTTTACCACAAACGAATTTTTCTTTACAAAATCACCAGTTGCCCCTGTAGAACCGATCGATTCCATCCACATCATCACATACATGCCACAATCATGTCTGTTACAAAATTTGAAAACCACACATGTCAATTATGATGAATACTGCATAAATTAAGCTTTCTATTTATGATAACATCTCATACCCATTCAATTGCTTATTCTTCTTATGCTCCACAAATTTGAAATTTTTCAAGGGATACTTTCCTAGAGATCCACAGGATTCAACCCAAATGCGTTTCTTATTATAAAAATCTAATATTTTAATCTGCATTAAAATAGAAGAAGTTATGATCCAAAAAAATTATGCATTATAATTTACATAATGTCCTTTCATACATACATACATACATACCAATCTCTTAGCATCCTTCACTCTCTGTTTAGGTGCTTCAGTTGTAAACATACTATCATATATTGTTGCAACACGATCTACCATATCCAACACCAACAGATACCAATATGAATTATGGTAGTTTATTGTGATCATGATCTGCAACAAATTTCACACCCAATTTGACAAAATTCAACATTCTATATCCGAAAACATCATTTGCAATTGGTATGGTGTCTTACCTTCTCACAGTCGGGGAATTTCACATAGTTATTCAATATGGGACCCCAATACAACCATCTCTCCTTTCTTCTCCTCTGCCTCCACTACCTCCTCTACATCCTTGCCAATAACCTTCAAAATTAAATTACAATATTAAGACATTGATTATATTCTTAATATTATTTAATTACATATATTACCCTTTCTTGCTCTTCGCTCTCCAACTTCAACTCACCATCTCTAACCACCTCTTCCTTCCCCCATGCACGGATGCGTGCCACTCCGGTTCTTTCATAAGCCGGCACTGCCTCACAGCCCGACCAAAAATCGAACAGTGCAACCTGCATTTATAATAAAATTTATATTTTTATATAAAAACACAAAAAAGTTCTTCAACTCATTTACCTCTAAGATTGCTATGCACCCTTTGAGATATCTATGGCTGCCCTTTTTAAAGGTGATTATTGATTCAATCAATCTCGAATGGATATATTCAGCCCAATTGAATTCACCCTTCAAGCCTTCATCGCAAATGAGCTTCATATGTTCTTTGTTCGTTGACGTATGACCCGTTGGACAAAGAAAGATACCGACAAGGTATAATAGAACTCTGGCCTTCAGCTCATCCCCAACGTAAGATCCGATTTTTATTTCCTCTTCAATTTCAGCATATGTCACCTTCTGCTTCAAACCATATTTGGAGGCAAGGCTTTCCATCCTTACTCTTACAGACTTCTACAACACTTTTGCCTTCATTTTCTACCCCCAATACGGCTGCAGCACATGGGATCCCGAGAGGAAATGAAAAATCATCATACTTAGCAATATATTGTCTGACATCAAATTACGCCATCAAGGATCGACACAATTCCCTCCGAATAGGTCGATCCCTTACTCCTACCAACGATCCAAAACCTATTTCTCCCAGCACATTCAACTGACCCTTCTTCTTAAGGTGTTTAATTAATGAATTCACCCTTTTAATGCTGCATCTTGTCGACACTTCCTACATTTTTTAACAATATATAATGTTATAGTTCTTATATATTTTGTATCAACGTATTTACAAGTTTAATGAATACCTTATTTTCATGTGCTTTCCTCCGTTCTTTGTATTCTTTACTATCATTCCTTGACTGTGTGATGTAAGGTTCATTTTCAGCATCACTCATTGAATTCCATTTGGACCTCACATCTTTTGTCACCTAATATTAAACATAAACGTTTCTTAATCAATACATTAACACTAAATACTACTCAATGTCAATTTCATTTTACATACCGAACCGCTCTGTGTGCCATCTTCCTTCATCCTTTTGCATTCAGCCATACTGTCAACATTTAAAATTTGTAATCAATTTAAAGTTTATCGATACTTTAATCTAATTACCATTTCAACAATAATAACAAAACATTGATACTTACTAGAAGTACATATATCCACCCTTTGGTTGCTTTCGAGTCTCGACCTCAATTTCAAAGTCATCTGCGCCACCAACATTTTCCAACCCATTGACTCCCATTTTTCCTTTATATCAGTTTACGCAAATCAAATTATTTTTTACATACACTTTATTCAATATACAAATATAGATAACTACTTTTGTGGTAAAATGTTTTCTTCAAAAGAATTTGAATGGCCACTACAAAATGTGTCGGCACATTTATACAACCTATAATATCATTTTCTACCTATAATATTTAATAAAAGTATCGACATTTATATTTTACCTTCAATATCACTTTCTACCTGCAATCGGTCTCAAATGCTTCTTTACTCCAAACCCCAAACAACACATAAAAACCCTATTCGATTACTGTAATAATAAAAAACTAGGGTTTCGACAACATACTTTTTGATTCGACTGCATCAACAAACAAACAAACACGCTTTAGAAACGCCTTCTGAAATGCAGCAACAATACGCTTCGATTTCAAAAATTCGTCCGTTCTACGATTTTCAGAGGATATTTAGATATGACCTTTATATTTTCATCGGATATGTTATTATATTTAATCGATACAAATACAAAAGTGTCGATACTTTTATGTCAGGTGTCGATACTTTCGAAAGGATAATTACCTATTTCTTTGAAAGTGTCGATAATTTATTACACGTACTTACGAAAGTATCGACACTTTCACCGGTATCGTTTTACCGGTTTTATCATTTTGATATCGGTTTTATCATATTTTTACCTGTTATATCGTTGTGGATCGATATATTTTTTTAAAGTATCGACACATTATAGGCGCTAAAACTGCTTCTCTTTTAAATTCACAAAGTGTCGATCCTTATATAAAGTATCGACACTTTCAATATATCCGGTAACGTTTTACCGGTTTTATCATTTTGATACCGGTTTTATCATATTTTTACCTGTTATATCGTTTTGGATCGATACATTTTTTAAAAGTATCGACACTTTATAGTATTTAAAACTGCTTCTCTTTTAAATTCACGAAGTGTCGATCCTTATATTAAAGTACCGACACTTTAAATGTATCTGGTAGCGCTTTACCGGTTTTATCATTTCAATACCGGTTTTGTCATAGTTTTACCTGTTATATCGTTTTGGATCGACACATTTTTAATTTGGATCGACACGAACCGACAAGTTAAGTTTGCCGATTGTACAATTTTTTAATATTTCTTCATGACTTAGACCTACTATATTATTATTAGTCAACATTTCCGGTAACGCTAAATCGAATTTATTAAATATCTTTTAATGTATCCAGTACCTCCGTATATTAACTGTATATTAACCCGACTTTCGTGTCCCCAACTATTAAGCTCATGGAGAGAGAGATCGAAAAACAAAAAAGCTGAGAAAGAAAGACTCTACCCTTTTTCCATCATAGTAAAACTAGAAGACAAAGTAGATTGCTCCCCACGCCTTTTTCCACTCATAATATCCATTTCCCAGTACCGATTGTTTGGCTGCGATTTTCTCAATTTTTTTACAGCTTCTAACTCAATCGGCAGTCTGCATTGTTGTAAGACATCCTGATCAGGTTATCGAATCATTTCAATTCTTTCTTCTTTTTAAAATTATCTGTTGATTTTAGTTTTTGTTATGGTGGATGAATTGCAGCCGCTGTAGATAAATGGAGGACGTTATTTTAGAGCAAAAGGATGCAGGGGATTGGATCTATAGAGGAGAAGGAGCTGTTAATCTTATCCTCGCCTATACTGGATCGTCTCCCGCATTTGTAAGTATTTCGACTAATCCTTCTCTTTTCCCCAAATTTAAAATTAATCAAAAAGTTCTTGAGGGGATTGAGTACAAAACTGAATTTGTTACCATCATGCTTGCTTATTTATTTTTTGGTTTGAATTTTTGTCGGTACAATAATTATAATAAGATTGGGAAAGTAATGCGAATACAAAAGTCGCAACGGAACGGCAACACCGGCTTGAAAGGAAATAGAGCCTTATCAACGCATGAACGGCTTCTTTGGCGAGAAAATGAGGAGCTAACGGCGTCGCCAAACAGAGAGATTCTAGAGCAGCTCTACGTCAAGCATGTCATGAGCCCATTGTTAGGACCAAAACATGTCGATGTTGGGGTATCTATATATGTGCTGTTTATCACAGTTCTGTTTTAGTTAATTTGGTTTGAGGAGCTTTATAATTTCTGTTGGATTTTTGGTCTGTTTGAAATTTGGCAGATTCGTGTTCATGTTACCAAGGAATTCCTCAAGTCTGTTGAGAAGAACGTGACTTTTTACCGGCCTGCTTGGAGAGTTGATTCATCCCAGGTTGATGTCAATCGTGATTCTGTGCTGATCCTATCAGATCACTCAATCTTTCCAAATCGTAATTTCACCATCTCCTAATCTGATGTTGTACTAAAAAATGTGAAGGGGTTATATCTTCTTTGTCACTTTTATAGATTGAGGAAGACATGACTATGTAATCATGCTCAGTTGAGCTTAATTATATAGGTTTATAGCTTACTTCTGTCTTATCCTTATGAGAGCAAAAGTACTATTAGAGGAAGGCAGATAATATTTTTGAAATGGCTTTCAGTAGGTAATATGTCTGGAAATTTGTATATCTTAAATTACATTGTACAGACTGGAAGTCTGAAAAGGACTAGGAAGTAGCTCTCATCGATGTATTTATGTGGGAAAATCCCATAGTTTGGGGAGAGTTAAAGATCTGTATGTGGTCTTCTTCATTTTCATTTTCCTAGAACATAGCTTTGGTGTCAGAGTATTGGTTAACCCTAATTAAATATTGAAATTAGTTCAAATATAGCAAATGTTTCGTTATTTTTTTATATGATTGCTATCTTTCTTTTTTCAGGTAATCTTAAAGATGAGCCATGTATAACTGTTGAGATAAAGGTAGATTTCCTTCTCTGCTTTTCCCCTCAATTTCTCTGTGCAATCGACTGTCTTTTTGACATGTTCTGTGTTTTCATTTGTTTAACTATGTATTACTTTCAATTGTTTTCATTGAAGTAGCCCAAATGTGGATTTCTCCCAATTTCAAGATTCATAGCTGAAGAAAATGCTGTTAAGAAAACCGTAGTTCGGTTTAGAATGCATCAAGCATTGAAGTTGCTTAATCAAGAGGTAACCTTATGTAACTTCATGTTATTAGGCGGCTTTTTGGTGTTAAGTTGTTTCTGTGTCCGCATGGAAGGTGTCTCTTTATAGAAATTTTCTCACTCATAGGCCATATATTTAGCTAATATGACCTTTTTGTTAAATTTTCTTTATGTGACCTTTCAAAAATATTTTTCAGATATCAGAATATAGTAAATATAATCCACTGGATTTTTTCTCTGGATCCAGAGAAGGGATACAAAAAGCTATTGAAGCTCTATATGCCACCCCTCAGAACAATTTCCGTGTATTTTTGAATGGCTCTATTGTGTTTGGGAGCCTGGGTGGTGGTGCAGACAGCACTACTGCTCTGGTTGGTGAGGCCTTTGAAGATACACTTAAGAATGTCATTCGGGCAGATAATGGCCAGCGCACAGCTAGTTTTATACAGCTTGTTGCTGAGACAATTTATGCTTCTGGTGCTTTAGATCAACTTCTTGAAGTTCAGAAGCTTGATACTCATGACATTGAAGGGGCAATTCATGCTTATTACAACATAACTTCTCAACCTTGTATGGTCTGTAGAGAATTGAGTAAAGGCAAACTATCATGCCGCTATACCTCTTTGCAGTCCATTCCATTGGATGAAAGATTGAAGATTGTAAAGGAGTATTTGATAGCTGCAACTGCAAAGGACTGTAGTTTGATGATTAGTTTTAGACCGCAGGAAGATGGTAGACTCCCTTCTCACAATACTGTATATCTGGGATCAACTGACCAAGTGTTTGAGTACTAGGTAAATTTCCGTGCCAATTTGTTTGACTTTGACTTGACATCATTATTCATGTGCTTGAAAGTGACCCCTTGAATTTTTTTTATCATGTGCTGATTTTGTGGCCCAAAATTATTAAGGGGATCAATCCTTAGAAGAAACCTATAAAAATCATTATATAACATTTTTTTGTTTATTAAGGGGATCATTTTGAGGTGAAATCAGGGTCTTTTATGGCAAGTTTACCTACTTCCTTTCTCACGTTACGTGCATATCTTATTGTGTTGTGAATTTGTAGGTGTATTTCATTGATTTGGATCTGAAACCTTTTACGAAAATGGAGACCTGTTACGAGTTGGATAAGAAAATTGTTAGCTGCTATTCTCAGATGGTGAAAACTGAGCATGAAACCGACAAAGCTGTTAGAATGAACTCCAATGGAAGTGTAAGAGATCAAAGGAATGCTTTGGAAGACAGTTTCTTTAATTGTTAGACTGAAGATTGTACTGGTTAGTTCTTATTAAATGGTTCCCAGATCGTTGTAAAAGTAAAGACTGTAAGAGCGAAGGTGAATATCGCTTATCTTTAGGCTCAGGTTCTTCCTTTCACCTCTTTTTGGGGCTTTTGGATTTCCCTTGCAGAAAATAATCTTTTGTATGTATCTTTTGCTTGAAGTTATATTCTAGTTGATTTCTTTTCTGTCTTCCTTAGGGGTTGCAAACTGAATGGTCCTTGGTTGCTCTGTCCATGCAATGTGGACCGCCTTGAAATCAGCTTAACCATGAGCAGCCAGTTTGTTTTACTCTTTTATTTTATTATTTAAATATTTTAAAATAGTACAATTAAAAAATCAAATACATTTGTCCTAGTTAAATTATATAATATACATAGCAGAATTTTTATTTTATTTTCATATATCTTTATGTAGGTTTATATCTTGCCTTTAATCGTTTGTTTGTTAGTTGGTTCATAGTATTAAATTATTCTCACTTGAATTTTATTTAGAACATATGTTTTTTTTTCATCTCTTGATCTTTTACGACTCAAATTTGGATTAGGATTGTGAGTTAGGTGGTAGCAAGTAAAAAAAGATACATAAATTGATGAGCATATAATAAACCAACTTGCTTGGAACAAATAACCTTTACACTGTACATCTACATGTACATAAATTATTCATCTACATATTAAATTGGCAGAAGGTGAGCAGAGACGATTGCTTGCTGCCGGCTGAACCCATGGATTTCAGCTTTCCAACAACAATAAATTAAAACCCCTTCAAGATTCACTAATTACAAATAATCACGTGTTACGCATCTCTCCTCAAGTTCCTTGCAGCTCGAAACATATCAAGTTTCTCTCTCAAATCAGCTGCCAAGGAGCAGCAGAATCATAATATACATATTACTAACAATTAACAGAAAAATGCTACAATTCTTATTAAACAAGGCTCGACCTAGCAAGATAATCTCAGGCAGTGATACAAGGAACGTCAAAAACTGAAGGTGAAGGGATGATGTTTTTACAGTAGAATGATATATGAAACACAAATGGTCAGCGGGAGGGAGAGTACCAGCATCCTTGTAGCGTTCCTCAGAAATAACTTCATTTAAGTCGCTGACAATTTTGAACTCCTCTGAATCGAGACAACGCTGACCACTTGGCCTGAAACATAAATCAGAGCACATTGCATTCAGATAACGGGAATCTTGTGACAAATTTTAATGTCTAGTTCACTCACTAAAGAAAGAAAATGCGATCTCCAAAGGGGTTTTGAGACTAACTGGTCTAGTTCAGTATGTGGTAAGATATCTGAAGCTGGGGGCTTCATGGACAGCTTCCCTGTTTCAATCACTCGCATTCCATCACTATATGCTAAGTGCTTATTCACTTGTATAGGTACCTGCACAGCAGATCAGGTAGGCTTCCAAGGTCATAATTCCAAAAAGCTCACATTTGGGTAAAAGTGTAATCAATCCAGAACCAAACACAAAATAACGTAAACCATATTTCACATGACAATGTCTAGTCTTCGTAGCCAAGAAAACCAAAACAATATGGAAAAACAATATGGGGTCAATGAAAAAGCATCGACGGACAGCCATATGAATGCTTCTCTATTACAGATGAAAGCCAATTTTCCATTATCACTATAATTTCTGCAAGGTTATAAACTACGGAAAAGGGGGGAAATCTAACAATTCCCTTGAATGCTCTCAGGTATCTTTAATCATGAAATTGGAATGGCAAAAAAATCACACTAGAGAATAACAGATAAAGGGTACCTTGCATCTCACAGCAATGTTGATAGCATCAGAAGGCCGAAGGTCAAAAGCGATGTACTCTGTTTCATCACCCTCCTGTGACATCTACAATGAGTGAAGACTATATGAATATCCCAGTGTCACAAATAAGATAAATTCGCTAAAAGTGAAAGGAAGACAGAGACCAAACAGATGTTCCATAGTCCGCACATGAAGTAGATATATACCTTTGTCAGGTACAGCTGAGAAAAATAGGCCCCATGCACTCTTTTAGTAACTCTAACAAGCTTTACCTGCAGAAGAACTAAAAATTTATCAGAATTCACAACCCAGATGTCGAAATGGTAACGACTCGTCCAAAAGATACAGATGGCATCATCTAGTAGGCAATGGTAAGTAGTAACAGAATGAAAATAATTTTTTGCTGAAATATTGGGACAAGAAAAGGAATCATACCGAGTGTAATCACCATTTTTACCTCTCCATTCCAGCATCTCCACGTTGCATTTCCAGTAGCTTCCAGCGACAGCTGCCCCTCCACGTTGCAGCTACAAACAGCCTCCAGCAAGCCGGGACAGCAGCCCCTCCACGTCTCAGTTCCAGTGGCTTCCATCACCTCCTTTGGCCAGTGACTCACCGAAGCTTTCCCCTTTGGACTGGTCCAAGACAAACACTGGAGGTGGCTATAAAAGCCACCACACCTGCGAGACAGAAAAAAAAAAAACAGACAGAGGACAGTAAAAAAAACCAATAGCCAGAGAACACAACAATACCAACGACGAGGACAACCACCGGGAAAAAAAAATACAGAGGAAAAACAGAAACAAGCAGACAACAACCAACAACACAACAACCAGAAGCCAAAAGAAAAAAGAAGAGAAAGCTTACTCGGTCATCGGAGACTTCGAAACATCACCGGAAACCTTCGAACTTCGAAGGTAAAATCCTAGATCTAGGAAATCCCGAGGGTTTTTAGGATAAATAAAGGCCTTAGTCGGACTTAGAAAGAGAAGATCTAAGTTTTGGGGTATTTTGTAAATTTCCGGCCACCGTTCACGGTGGCCGGCGGTGGTGACCGTGCCGGAACACGGCTGCCGGTCGGAATTTGTCTCCCTCCGGGGAGGGTTTAGAGAGAAGACAGAGAGAAATTTTTTTCTCTCTGTTAGAGAGAAAAGAAGAAAGGAAGAAATGATAAGGGTGATCCTTGGGGCCGGCTTAAATGGGTATAAATACCCTCATCAAAACGACGTTGTTTTGATGAGGGTATCTGTGTAATTTCATATATGGGTAAACCCCATCCGCAGTCCATAGTTTTATAACTTTACATTTTAGTCACTAAATCGAGTTTATAATCCTTTTAATTTGGTTCTTTAATTTAGTTTTATTTATTTAGTCCTTTATATTAAAATAATATTTAGGATAAATATCATATTTAGTCCTTTAATTTTAATAATTAATATTTTAATCCTGAGTATATATTTTAATTTATTTTAATATGATATTCGAATTTTATATAGTTTTATTTTAGTCACCAAATTAATAAATAAGGAAAATAACATGTTTAATCCCTGAATTTTTAAATAATTACGAATTAGGTATTTAATTTTATTAGATTATAATTTAGTTACTAATTTTAAATATTTTCATAAAGTTTTACTGCTTTTAAATATATAGTTCTAATTTTATTTTTATTATTGATTATTTATGTTTTAATTGTACTTGTTTATATTTGAATATTATTTATATTTATATAGTCATATAAATATATATAATAAATAATAATTTATATTAAATCTTAATTTGATTTTACATAAATTATGTTTTTATCATATTTTAATATATATATATTTTTCAAAACCAAAGAAAAGGGCAGTCTTAATACAACTGGATGTCCTATTCTGGTATTTTAAAATTAAATATTATGATAAAAAAAATTAATATTTATCAATATCAAAGAAAAGAGCTGTCTTAAGGCACCTAGAAGTCCTTTTCCGATATTTTTAAATAAATAAATATTTTTTATATAATTGTGAAATAATAGGATTATAAATTAAATATATTTTTGAATTTTTAAAATTTTAATAATAGAGACAATTTATAATTAAAAAGTACCAATTTTGGGCGTTGTAGGGGTGCTAATCCTTCCCTAAACGTAACCGACCACGAATCCCTTTTTATTATTAAAAAGAACGAATTTTTGGTTATAAACGCAGATCAGTTCATTTTTTAATTGATGTTTTTTTTAAACTCTTTTAAAAGATAATTTTTAGGTATTCGACCTACCTGATCCAAAAGGCCGATGGCGACTCCCAAATTATTTTCAAAACCATTTATTCACATCAATTTTCCCGCCAAATAAATATTTCGTGCCCGGACGAAAACCGGTTACGACAGCTTGGCGACTCCGCTGGGGAACTGATCAAACTTTAAAATCAATTATAAATTGTCTCTATTAATTAAAAATTAAAAGTTCATATATTTAATTTTTAATTCTTTCTTTTCAAAATTTTTTATATTTACTTATTATTTTCATAATATTTATATGTTTCATTTTACTTGTAAGTATTTTATTTCGTTATTTATTTTTCTGTCAAAGGTTTGAACATTTCTCCTCACACACAACACTTGCATTACATAACATAAAGCTCTATAATTGAGTTTGTCCCTTTTAAGTGGGAGTGAAAGCGACGTCTTCGTGAGAATTTATTCTCCGTGTCAGACCTAGCAAGTAACTTTCGGGGTTCATATGCTCTATGTCTTCGTGAGAATTTATTCTCCGTGTTAGTCATAGAGAAATGTATCCCCTCGAATTGAACTCGGTCCGTTTAAGTCTGTAATGGACTAGGATTGAGGGTTTGATAGCCCAAGGGGGCATCAACAAGGACAGTTCGAGTACCTTTACTCCTAGAACTGAAAACCTGCATATAATAAACCCTAGAAACTCTCTCGATCTGAAACCATGCCGAAATTTTGTCAGTAGGTATACACAAAGGAGAAATAAGCTCTAGTTTTTAATTTTTTTTTCCTTTTCCTGAATAAATGCATGCGAACTAGAAATCGTGCGGTTAAGTTAAATTTTCCAAACAAATCATGGAACTAGAAAACATGAGGTTAAGATTTATACATTGATAAATAGATTTTTTTAGTTGGTACTAACTGTTCTGTTTTTTTTTTCATGCATATTACATTGCTCTAATATGTTCATATTGATTTCTTTTGTTTGCATTACATGATCATGGCATAACCAAAAGGTGTTGGCTTGAAAGACTGTTCATCATATTGGAAAGAAATCGTAAATGGACAAAAAGTTTTATGATCAAACAAAATATGATACGACCAAGGAAAGACATCCTGAAGAAACTACGAGGATCGAGGGAAGTTCTGCACACAGAGAACCGGTTATATTAATACCAAAAGTAATCCATAAAGATTCTACCAGATTGATACCAAAAGAAGTCTATGGTAAGAGTATCAGTCGGGACATTCAGAGTAGTGGAGATTTTTATGAAGCTCAAGCATGTTATTTGAAGGACTTGAACGACCAAAACGAGAAATTGAGCACAGAAATGAAAACCATGCATGAAGATTTTCAGAAGATCAGTCAAACCTTTCAAAATGCTGGCCTAGGAAGTACCCCAGAAGAATAGATAACAGGGGTCACCAAGCTGAAAAAGAACTGCAACATATATGAAGATCTTGTTCAAGAACTTCTTGGACAGAAAAGATCTCTTACAAGAGAAAATGAGCAACTTCGAGAAGTGACACAGAAGATGAAAGATAATGTTATAGAAGAAGTTGCAGTCCAGACAAGCAATATGGTTCTTAAATGATAGATTTAGTTGATTTTATAAGGAGACGAAGCAGACTGAAGACTCAACTTTTTGAGCATGAATGGAAAATAATTAGGCTTTAGAAAAGTTAGGAGTAAAATATATCCCTACATGTAAAGTTTTGTTTGTACCGAAACTTTTGCGTTCAATGAAATCTGTTCTAAGATGATCACTCTTGAGTAACACCTTTTCATACATGCATTTGTATTTTGCATTTGTACATTTTTACGTTTGTATTTACATTTACATTTCTAAATTTACATCATGCATTAAAACATATTTAATTAAATAATAATGTTTATTTATTTTCAATATCAAAGAAAAGGGCAGTCTTAATAAACTGGATGTCCTATTCTGGTATTTTAAATAATTTACATTTACATTTTTACATTTGCATATTTACATTTGGCATCTTTGCATTTGTATTGCACAATTTGTATTCTTGTTATTACATTCACATATTTACATTTGCATTTGGCATCTTTGCATTTTTTTTCATAATACATTAAAACATTAATTCATTAAAATAAGGATTCCAAACGAAGTGATCTTGGTTTTTCCTTGAAGCAAGAACGCTCAGCACGACACAAGAAAAATGTCTAAAGAAACTGAAGATAGGCTAGCCAAATTTGAGATAAAGCAGAAAGAAATACAAGAGGAATTGAGGAGCAAGTTGGCACAAATCGAAGCTAATTCTCAGATCGATCTGCTGAACAATATGAAAGAAATGATTGATAAGCATTTGACTGCTGGAAAGAGTCTTGTTGAAAACCCCACAAATTCTTTGGGTGTTACACCTGTTCATATTCCTGAGTTCACCTCTGTACCCCAGGAAATTCAGTCACCAATTTATTTTGCTGTTAAGAACTCACCATATCAAGCTGGAGCATCGTTCCCCACTGATTGTCCTACTACTTCTGAGTTGAAGCCTGATGAATTTTGTAATGAGGTCCTTGACCTAAACAAATCAGTTGAGAAGGAAAATTCACTCAACTACTGGAAAATATAGAAGAGGTGATAAAATCTATAGAGACAGTTGAGACATTTTATGGGTTTGACGCCAAAGAACTAAGTTTGGTCCCTGGCCTGGTTATTCCACCAAAGTTCAAGGTTCCAGATTTTGAGAAGTATAATGGGACTACATGCCCTTCATATCATATCACTATGTATTGTCGTCGTATGACTGGCTATGTAGAGAATGAAAAATTGTTGATCCACTGTTTCCAAGACAGTTTATCTGGGTCTGCATCCAGATGGTATAATCAGCTAAAACGTACTCAAATACGTTCTTGGAGGGATTTAGCTCAAGCTTTTTGGGTTAATACAAGCACATGACTGATATGGCCCCTGATCGAACAATGTTGCAAAGCATGAATATGAAGTGCAATGAAAGCTTTCGACAATATTCACAATGATGGAAAGACGTTGCTTCTCAAGTACATCCACCATTGATTGAAAAAGAG